CCTTGCGCAGCAAGGCAGTTCATTAACATTAGCATTTCATGGTTGTCTCAAAGATAGAAATCCTTCCCCTTCTGTCTCTCTCACACACACAGCAGTTGGCTGAGGGACAATCGCTATAGCAACAGAATCCAGAGAAAGGCAGAGTTTGGTTTGGACTACAAACCAGCAGCTATAACTGCCATAGCTGTAGTTCTATCTATGGCCAAGACTCAGTTAAAACAGAGGCCTGAGCAGCATGTCAGAACTACAACATGGCGGAACTGTCTGTTACTATAGAGGAGGAGTTGGCTGGTATTCTGAACTACTTGTGCTTTGAGCATTATATAACTGATTTAACCCGATCACTATTACACATGAAATTAATGTGGCAATTTCAAATGACGCTTATTGAAAATTTTCAAAATAAAAGCCTTGACAATTTTTACATCATGTAATTGCTCCTTTTTGTGTTAGATAATTGTTTTAACCAAACCACTGCTACACATGGGATTAGTGTTGCCATTTCAAATGAAGCTTACTGAAAGTTCCAAAATAAAAGCCTGCATACTCCCCTCATGTCAGTGCACCGCCGCAGGCGGTGCAAAAATATTCTTTTATTTTTTTTTTCCTCAGGATAGTTAACATCATTAACATCAGCACAAACATTAGCATTTCACTGCCAACCACTAGTGCACTTACTTGCACGCATTAGCATTTGACCTAAAATAAGCTTTTAGCCAATTTATTTACTTATGAGCCATGTTTAGAATACTGATTGGACTGAGTCAATGGGTGACAACATGGTAGTCATACCCCACATTCTACTGATACCATTCATGCTATTATTAGCATTTGGGCTAATTTTACTGTACGCAACATACTGAATGGTACAAGTACAGCTTAGTCCACATGCTTCTGACTCTCCACAGGTTATTGACTACATTGAAGCTTCCTGTAGCATTAAGGCTAATTTTTAGCATTGGAACGCTGGGTCCAAACCGACGGGCACACTTTGGCAGGCCCCTCAAAATTTCTGCAGGAATTTTCTAGTTATTCCATTTTTTTCTTCCGTTACCGTTAATGCGGCTCGTACCGCTGCGTGCCCAACCACAAAAGTGGCTTCATATCGAGCGGCTCGATCCCGGCATTGGAGCTATTATTTTTATTGGGGATCGGAGTTACGACGGCGACGTAAAAAGTGAAAAACGAGCGAAATTTCCAACTGCCGAAACGCAGAGTGTAACTGACACCAACTGCCGCTTTTTTAGAGTGAGAAAAAGAGTGGATTTTTGACCCCAAAATAATTTTGAAATCGCTCTCATGGGTGCAAAAATTGGTCTATCGGTATGAAACTCGGTCATGACATTGATACGAATGCCTGCTCCGGTAAAATGTTTTCAAAATTTTCCTAGGGCTTACGGTTTTCGGTCCAGGTGCTTCGGAGCAAAGTTTTGGGACAGGACTAACTGACGTTCCTCCCCAGTGTTTTACATACATTTCTGAAAAAGTTCTGAGCTCAGCGCACACCATTTTTCTCTCATCACTACAATTACTGTGAATGAGCTACAGATATGAATCGCGGTACTAAATGAGACGACAAATAGCCCTCTCATATGCTTCAAACGGTTTTTGGATCGGGCTTACGGATCCTGAACGGGAAGCAGTTGTTCGGACTGCTTTTTTCATTAAAACTGACTGGGTGTCTCATAAAGATAGATAAGTCTGACACACACAGGGCAGTTTCATCACCATAGCAACAGAATACAGAGATAGGGAGAACTGCTGGGGTTTGGACTACAAAGACTCTGTAGTTCTAAATATGGCGGAACACTTTAATACAGAGG